AAACAGTTGTCAACACTTTTGACATTTAAAACCCAATCAAACCATTCATTAATTAATATTCATAACAATTAAAAGCAAATCTAATTTCACGACTAATTCACTCACAGTTTGTGTCACTCATTATAAGTGCAATGAATTTGAAGCACCGATTAATTCATAATAAAATGTAAATTAAATGCGATTATAATAAACACTGGATTTCTATATGAATTGTATTTCAACAGCGATTAAAGTGTGCATTGGTTTGCATTACAGTTAGACTGCGATTGTGTTAAGCCTTCACACAATTTACTGTTATTGTTTGTAAACAACAAGTCTTGAGTCTCTGTTATGTCCGCTCATAAACACCGTTACCATCGCTTTGAACGCATACTTTTGGGCCCATTATTGTTGATAATGTGCCGAAGAAGTGGTGATTCTGTAATTGAATACAACTATTTCATCGACATCTGTGTCCAAATCATGTCATTATTGACTTTCCTTTAGATATTTGTTTTACGTTCAGTAAAAATATAATAATTTTATTGAAATTCAATTAATCTCTATTTATACACCAGAATATTCTGTGCGACAAGAGAATATGGTAACTTTAAATTAAATGCATTTATAACTCTTGAATTACTGGATCGCCAGCAATGGTTAGCTGAAGTGATTGTAACAAAGTGTTTGTAAATTGGATAACAAGTTATGAGCAAATATTTTGTAGTTTTTTTTTGTAAATAATCATCTTTAAGGTTTGATTCAATACATGTAAAATATATAATGTACAGTTTTCTCACCAGAAGACACATCTCTTGAATCAATCAATTGAATCAATTAATCAAATATTACAATATATTTGAATATTAATGTTTAAAACACGATTGACACACACTAACAAAAGTCATGCCTTAAATTCGGTAATGATTTATAGTTTAGTGTAAAATGTATTAAAATACGGCAATTGAACAATCAGTGCGGGAGTCGAGCGTTAGATATAGGTTTCACTCATTAGAGGATTAGTACTTATTATACGATTCCATAACCAGTTTGTAATCACTTTCGATGGATTGCTTGTTATAGTAATTGAGTCCATAGTTTGTGAGAAAAGGCGTCAAATCTTGGCTTTTACACCATCTGTCAGATAAAAGTAATGCTTAATTAGATGTTTAATTACTATATATTTAAGTATTCAATACCTAAGAGCTGTTATCTCATCCAAGTCTGTGGATCCGACCAAACACGAGGACTCCAAGAGTGTGGTTGCGATGAATAGTCGGGCCAAAGTGAAGGAGAAGTCGCGGGAACCGGCGTCTAATACGTTAGGATTGTTGTAAATTACGTTAATAATGGTGTCGATCGATGTCTGAACCCGAATGGCCTCCTCTTTGAGTACGGCGTGATTTAAAGCCATCTCTAAACGACTTTTAATGTGAGATCTAAACGCTCGAAGAGCTTCGCCACCGGTTTTAG